CCGATGCAGAGTTTAAGAATTAACATAGGATTTTACCCCGTGGGGATATGGGACACAAATGCCATGAGATAAACCTCCACTATTACTATCACTGGAATTTGTATGGCTCTTACTAATGCCCGAGTTATAAACTTCCGTAGGTTTTGAGTGGTTTTCCTTATTCTCACTTGCTATAAGCTCTATTATTATTATTTTTTTTATCGGTACCAGGGATTGAACTCACGACCGCCTGCTTGCAAAGCAGGTGCTATGCCGCTGAGCTAAATCGCCAGCACCAAGCTCTATTATTTTTAGCACACAGTTATGCATTATGTGAAATGGTTCAGTGGCATCATTATGATGGAAATACCTGTATTATACAATCTAAACTTCTCAGTGTCCTCCCAAAATACGTACTGAAGCTATCCAGTCACTTCTCACTGCTTGCATAGCTATTACCCTAACCCAAACCAGTTTTCACTTTTCTGGGCTACTGAAATAGCCTCTTTCTAATCTCATTCTAGTTCTTTCTCTACTCAGAAGATTAAAAAAAATCCCTTTAAAACACAAATCAGGTTGCACCACTGCTTTCTCTAAAAGTGAGCTTTTTAATGGCTTTGCACTGCATTCTGAATAAAACTCACCTTCTTTTCAGGGCCCTTGAGCCTTTCTCCTTCTCCATCTGGCCTTCACAATCTCTCCAGCCACATCTTCCACCACTGACTTGCTTGCACACTACACTCTAGCCACGCTGGCTACTTTTGAATCTTGGACATGCAAAGCTTATTCCTACCCCAGGGTCTTGTCATTTGTTGCTTCCTCTGCCTGGAACCATTTTCCCCTGATTGTTCACCTGGCATGTTCTTTCTCATCCTTCGAGTACTGGCTTGAATGTTATTTCCTCAGTCTTGACTCTTTACCACCCTAAAAAGATGTCTCCTCCAAGCAAGTTGTCTCCCCCACAAAATCTATATCTATAAATTCAGAAAGTGTTATAAGTAAACTCCTACTGTGTGAGCCTTAATATAAAGCAGCTAATGTCCATCTCTATAATTTGTAGGCCTGTTCTTATATTCTGCTGATTTCCTTTTACATTCCTACTCATTCATTGAAACTGGTTCATCATTCTCAAATGATCCTTATCGGTATCAGGGATCAAACTCACGACAGCCTGCTTGTAAGGCAGGTGCTTATGCCGCTGAGCTAAATCCCCAGCCCTGGTTCATCATTCTTGATTTCAATATAATGGAGAAGGAACGGGCATTAAGAAGATTACGTTTGTGAAAGAAATTGGTAAACATGTAAATGAAATATAACCTTATAACCCACTGGTTCAAATCTCTACACGTTTGCAGGAGTACGGGCAAGCGCACTTGAATCAAACTCTCATATCTTCATTAGAATCAAAGATGGAGATACCTTTACTGGCTGGAATAATGAAGGAGATCCAAACAAATTTGTGGACCTGAATAATTTTTAGTGAAATTTGTAGTTGTCTGCTGAGCAAGTAGAGCAAATAAAATAACAGGGAAAAAGAGTGTAGAGAAGTCTGAGCCTCAAATAATTTTAGAGAACAGCTGAAGGGATTTTCCAAGGGAAATTTTACATAGTTTATTTAAGAAAGATGTTTTCTATCTAGTGAGGTTTCCAGGAGTGAAGATTCCATACACTCCCCACTGAGAGGGCCTGGTGACGAATGGTCAGAAAATTTAAATTATCTCACCAAGGCCTCTGGCTATTACTGAAATCCAGTTCCCTATGAAAATGGAGATATGAAATTAATTATTTTATTATATTCTCCAAACAGTGACAAACTCTGCCTCTGGGCTTTGTATTTTCAAAAATCTTATCTCACTGGCTTTATGTTACAAATAACTGTTATTGTCTCCCCACACCCTTAAATTTTTGGTCTTTATGAGACAGTGTCTCACTGTGCAGTGCAGGCTGGCCTTGACTTTACTTCGTAGCCCAGGCTGGCATCAAACTTACAGCTATCCTCCTGCCTCAGCCTCTCAAATGCTGGAATTACAGATGTGAACCACCACACCTGGCTTGCTCCTCTCTTCTTGACCTACTCAAAGTTCTTCACATTGTTCTAAAACTATGGCGCTCCTAACAATTCATGATTATTTCCAGCACTTGAAAAAAATGATTTGTCCATTATGTGTCAGTCACTATTTTAAGCACTAGAAATACAGCAGAGACCATAACAAAGCCCTGGCTGCTGCATAGCTTGTACACTCTTAAGGTGGTGGGAGGAGAGTCAGAGGAAGACAAGTAAAAAAATAAGATAATCTAACGCTGTAATAATTACTCTGGAGATGGTTTAGCAGTAATAGCAGAAAGGAATATTTGGGTGGGGATGAAGGGCAAGTTATCACAGGTAGGATAGTGAAGATCTGTAGAAGTCAATGCTTAAGCAGGTTAAAGGATGAGAAAGATCTCACTTGGCTGGGGAAAGAGTATCTGATGCAGAGATACATGCAAAGGTCCTGAGATGCATGTGAGAAATCCAAGTAATGTATATACAGCTGAAATTGGTGGTCTCAGAACTAGGGACAGTTCTATTCAGGGCCTTGTGGGCAGGCCATAGTAAGGAATTTGCACTTTATTCTAAGTGCTATTGGCACATTTTATTGGAAAACCATCAGATCACTTGGGGCAGTAAGAGTTTGCTTTTAATCATTCTGGCTATTACATAAAAGCTACTCAGAAGAGGACAAGAGTGCAAAGAGGGGGTCCAACCTGGAGGCTCTTTCAGGCAAGCAGGCTGAGGGGATGCAGGGTTGCTTCTAGGGTGGAAGGAGTGGACACAGGAACCCGAGTGCAAATGCTAGATGTCTACAGTTAGAGCCAACAGAACGTGGACGCACAAGATGAAGACACAGAGAAATCAAAGATGATGCCTATATTTTGCATTCGAAAGTAGACTTCTGAGGTGACAAGACTGGTGTTAAACAATCCTTTAAATCTATACGGAAGTAATCAAGAATGACCACCGAGTAGTGAAGTCAATAAACTGCCTCAAGTGAACAAGAGGGAGTATGCAAGTGTATTTGATGGTTTTAAAATTTTGGCTTTGTGAATATTTGTAATATGCTTAAAGATTTCTATTGCATCTCTTTCAGGAACAAGTTCCTTGCCCTTGTTAAAAGATGATCACTAAAATCAGTCTGCTGAAATGTTTTGTTGCCTCTTACTACACCTCATTCCCATGACCACCTGTTTATACCCCTCACTAACCTGTTTCCCTGATGTGAGCAAGAAAGTGGTAAAGTTACCTCTTTCTATAATCACAAACATGCTACAAATAGCCAAAGTTCTAGTCACCAGTTATCAGAGGAAATGACTGAAATGAATGCTTTATTATGTAACGTTGAAGTTTCATGTTTCTTACTCAAAACACTTGTAGACTCAAGAGAGCTGGGCACTCAAGACAATACAGTACGAGTATTTTGTGTGTAAAGCCTTATGGAGCATTAAATTTAAAATTTTGTAAAGTAACGCTATGCTGTATTATGCTCAGCATTCACCCTCACGTATTTTTCTTTCAATAACAGGATGTATTTCTTGCCTCATAATAAACTTTTAGGACCAATGAAACCAGCTTATGCTGTGCAGGTGGATATGTATGAGTGCTTTGTTGCTTTATTCATTTCTATAGTCCCATAAATTATTTACCATCTTACATCTGTTTGTGACTTTCAGTGATGGTGTATTTATATGAAAAAGTACATCCAAATTATTATCAACCAAATTAAAGAGCAGGAAGAGGTCAGAATATGGGAACAGCATCCTCTATTTCAAACCATTCACACACACACACAAACTCACTCACAAATAACCTGCCAGGGACAGCAATGCTTTAGGACAATATAGCCCCCCAAACAGAGAGTTTACTACCACCTTGAGTGTATTTCCTATCTCTAAATGACCGTATTACTAAATAATGGTTAATCCTGGAAACACTAGATATATAAATAGTCTTCTGAGATTATGGATTTCCAAAATTACGTTTTAATGTAAAAAATGAAATGGGCCTCCTTTTCAAGGTTGTAGAGGTAATTTACGTTGTAGGATTGTGTCCCAACCACTGAGAACAGAAGGTAAAGCATTTTTTTTTTAATTTAGAAAACAAATTCTCCAATAAATCAGTGTTAAATGATCCTAGATTATCTTCAAAGGAACACTATTTTGGTTTGCAGTTTATCACTTTTTTTAAACCTTGATCACTCATCCCTGGTGAAAGCCTGAAGATTTTAAGAAATCCCAGACACTAAAAAAATTCTGCAAACAAAAATGGACTTGAAGCATAGCAACTCTTTGCTGTCTGAACAGAGCAATTACACTAACAGAAGCTGTAATAGAGGACAGCACCCATTCAGTTCAAGCTTCTAAATTATCAGAATAACTTCCTACTGCTTCATGGTCAGTAAATACACTAGCATTGAAACTGCAGATCACAATCAAAAAGGACCCAGTCTTTTATCAGAACTATACAACTTTGCAATAATTCTAATAAAACAAACAAACAACAAAGTATGCCTTCAGGGAACCCACAAAGGGTCCCAAAGCTTACATAGGAAATGTATACTGTATGCGCATACATTTTTCTGGGGGGAGGGAACTTAACTTTTATGGATTTCTAACAGGGTACAGAGATTGTAAGAAATAGTACATGGAAGAATTCTCATCTCTGTATTTTCAGTAATTGAAGTAGGGTAGGGAGGAAAGTAATTTTCAAGGATTGTGAATTTGTAACAGGGACAGAAGTGGTGACACAAATTGGAAATGGGGGCTCCAGAGGGATAATAAAGCAATACCACGAATTTAAAGTGAAATTTAGCTGGGTGTGGTGGCACAAGCCTATAAACCCAGCACTTGGGTGGCTGAGGCAGTAAGACTGCCATGAGTTTGAGCGCAGCATGGGCTACATAGTGAGTTCAAGGCCAGCCTGAACTAATCAGAGAGACCTAATGTTAAAAAACAAAAACAAAAACAAAAATTTAACTCCAGTCCAATTTTCAGTTTCTGCATATTTTTTATTTCTGAATATCACAAACTTCAATCAGAATACTTTTAAAAATATTATTCTGCATGCATTTAACAAATCTGACAAAAGACAAGTATCCAGTTATTTGCATTATAACAGCTTTAACTGAACAGCCAATTAACATATATTTAAAAACATTAGGTACAAGAAACAATGAGAAAATTGATGCGTTAGTGTGAGGGCATCCTACCACTATGCACATGTTCATGTAACTACTAGTAATGGCCCTGAAGCACAGGCAAATGGAGATAGACTCTCTAAAAAGCAAGTTTAAGGGATTAGACATCATCATCATCACCATCATCATCACTGCTGAGAACAAAGCTGCTGTCTGTGGACAGTGGCCCCTCTTCCATCACATTCCCCAAAGTACCGCTGTCATCACCATCATCAAATTCCTTCTCACCGAAACTCACCTCATCAAACTTCTCAATGGAGTTGTCATCTTCAAACAACTTTTCATCTATATCTTCCTCTTCTTTTTCATCTGCATCTTCCTCATCTTCCTTTTCATCTGAGTCTTCAAACAGCTTTCCATCTGTGTCATCTTCCCCCTCTTTTCCATCATCATCTTCACGCTCTTTTCCATCTGCATCTTCTTCATCCTCTTTCTTGTCTGACTCATCATCAAAAACCTGGTCATAGGTTTCCTCGTCATCCTTTTCGTCTGACTCTTCGTCAAACTCCCTTTCAGAATCTTCCACATCCAACATTCTTTCAGTGTCTTCAAATTCTGATTTGTCTGTGTCATATTCTTCTAACTCTTTGTCAAAGAGGTTTTCGGGAAAATCCCTGTCAGAGCCTTCCTCATCAAAATCTTGCTCGACACCATTTTCCTCCAATTCTTTTTCAGAGCCATCTTCAGATTGCTTTTCCGAGTGGTCTTCGTCAGACTCTCTCTCAGAGTCATCCTCTTCAGATTCTTTTTGGGGGCTGCCCTCCTCTTTGGACCCTGGGTTGGCATCATCATCTTCAGACTCGCTGGCAAGGCCATTCTCTTCACAAGTTTTCCCGAGTATCTTCTTTGTAGATTCTCTTTCGGAGCCATTCTCCTTCAACTCTTTTTTGGGACTGCCCTCTTCAAACTCCCTTTCAAAACAGCCTCCTTCAAACTCCCTTTCAGAACAGCCTCCTTCACACTCTCTCTCGGGACAGCCCTCTTCGGATTCTTTTTCAAGCTTGCCTTCTTTAGGATCTTTTCCAGAAGCATCTTCTTCAAATTCTCTCCTATCCTCTGTTTTTTCAAACTTCTTCTCATCAACAGGTTCTTCAAATACCATTCCAGTTTCAGCTTCTTGAGCATTCATCTTCCATGTGCTCGGGGGCTCTGAAAAATGCCTCGCTCTAGAAGGCCCTGCCATTTCTGAAGCACTGACAGAATCTGACCGCTGAAGGCTTCTGTTGGCCTCAGGAGCATTAAGGAATGCCTCCCATCCTTTCAGCCTTTCCTCCCTTTCTCTTGAGGTCTCCTCCACCTGTGAGTAAGCAGAATCTGCCATTAAAATGAGTTTCAGACAAAAAGAAGCAATTACTTCACTATTTCTAATATTGAAGAAAGTACCCTGAGTTTATAAGGAAAGTCTTCTTAGGAAAAAAAAAGCAATTGCTTGTTTTCAGTTCTCAAATCTTTGCCCTTAACTAATTATTGTGCAATGAAATGCAAGTGCCATAATACTGCAGGAATACCTCATTTCTTATCAAATTAATATTTGAGCTTTGTACAACATAGAATGGAAGAGAAATAATTTGGTTTAATGTGTCTATTTCTTATCACAATTTTAATCAAATTTCAGAATTTCAGACTAACAAACTAAAAGATTGAAACATTTTCCTTATCCCCTGAAGGCAAAGTATTTAAAAGAAGTACATGTACATTAAACAGATTATACCAAACTCAAAACTTCATTCTGAACAATTGCTAGATGAGTGCTGTTGGTAATGAAATAACATACATGAGCCCTTGACAATGACAGATTTACCTGATAATCTGTAGTCCCATCCCACGCTTGGGCAGTGATCTGACGGCCACCAAACCACCTTCCATCAAGGGTCTGAATGCAGTGATCAGCTTCCTCTGCATCCCTAAAGGACACAGAGGCCACACCATCGGGGTGCCTCTAGAAAGATGAGAAGGAACAGTAAGATTAAAAGTAAGATATACATTTGATAAAGTAGGGATGGAGTGTTCTCTCGGATACACTGAAGTGAAAGACTTTATACAGTCTTTGTTTGCAGCCAGTAACATGCAGTCAGTTGCTTCTTTAGCTTCACCTTAACTACCAAGAACAAAACACAATGTCTTTGGACACATCTCCAACGACAACAATGTCTAATGAGAGGCAAGACAGTATAATTGTTAAAAGCAAGTCAAAATCTGAGTTAGATTTGTCCTGGGCTTGAATTCTGGCTTTCATTACTACAGCAAATCATTCTGTCTTAAAGCACTGGTTTCTTCATCTGTGAGGTGGCAGAGGAGGTTGTTATCCACCTAACCAGATGGTTTGTGAGGATTAACAAGGTAATGTACCAACTACCTTGTAATAAACCAGCAATATTACTGTGAGTCAATTTCAGAAGCAAAAGACGGATAAGGGGAAAGACGCAGGAGAGTGTATCTGTTAATTGTTCCAAATATGAATAATAATTCACACAGAGGAAAATATAGGCAAACAGAAAACCATAAAGTCTCACAGATTTTTAATTTGGTTTTGTTGACTTGATCACATACTCTACAGCAGTAATGGAGGAACTACACCACAGCTCCAGAGTAACAATGGAAAATTAGTAGGCATACCAAATCTATCAAAATCATGCTCATCTAATTACTGCCAAAGACGACCACCATCAAATAGACTTACTGTATAAAAACATTAAATCCAAAGTTCAGTGTGTACTGATGTTCAACAATCAGTTAGTTAGAAGAATGACTGCTTTAGGATTCTTTGGTCTATGCCATCAACTTACATCAAACAGGAGGAGCTTCTTAATTTGACCAAATTTGGCACATTCTACTCGAAGATCTTCTCTGATTTCATTCAGAACCAATGGATCATCCTGCAAAAATAAACATGATTAAAATGGGACTGCCCCTTTTTTAATTCCAAAGAATCAAACTTCTTGCTCTGGCAAATCAATAAATTAAAAAACACATTTCACTTAAGGTTGGTTATGTTTGTCTGTGGTCTACAAAATTAAAAGAAAAAATCAAACTCAAACGAAGTGAGACTATGATTGCCACTGCTACCAGGATATGTCTGCTCCATGCTTAAGACTGAGGAAATGGACAAAAACAGCAGATAGCAGAAGGGTGTCCAGTGGCAAAGGAGAAGGAAAGGAAGTGGGACTCGAAAGCTCAAAGAAACAGCAGCTTTGGACAGAAGGTCTGTGGCACATATTCATCAGACCCTGCTAATTCCTGTTCTGTGTGGGATGCAGAAAAATTTCCTTTACAGAAATGGTCTAATAGAGAGAGGCATGTCCTTTTTCATGCATTTCCAAGATTGTACTTTAATTCCCAAGGTAAACTCTCTAACGACTGTTTGTCTTATCATCTGCCATACTACAACAGAACCACTTACTATGCAAAATATTAAGCATACAGTAAAACACATTCTGGGAATCAAGAACACTCAAACATTGCTGTTTCTAGTGGTTTCCAGTTCAGCTAGACTCTCTTTCCCAGAACAAAAGCATTTAAGACTCCCAGTAGAGACTGACAAACCTTTTGTAAGTCTCAATACATAAAAATGGCTCAGAAAGATTCATTTCAACTTGAATTTAAACTACAAGCAAATACAAATTTATGAATTTCTACTGAAGTCAACTTATACTTTGTAGGAAACATTTTGGTGTATCTATCTTTCTTACAGATTTTTAATTTTCTCACCAACTAAAGAAGAACTACAATGAACTAACAAAAAGTGACTTTCTATCCTAAATTTCTCTCAAAAATAAACAACTTATAAGCAATTACTGAAGTCAGATTTAAAATAAAAACTATAAAATCCCACTCATTTGCACAAATCTGAAGTTTCTCCAATTCAGCTGGTAGGCTGAAATCCCCCATTTATAAAATCTAATGTTGGAGAAGCCAATTTATTTCGCAAAGAACATGAGAACTGAAAAAAATGGGAAGGGAAGCAAACACTTTGGCAGTCACATAGTGGCTTTTGGTGATGTGTGTTTGGTTAACTCTTACAGGATAATGTGCCTTCTAAAAGCAGGATACTTGGTTTAATGAATCTTATGCGTGCTACAGAATTTTATATGCAGTCAATCAATAAAAGCCTCTCTTTTACTTATCAAGGGCGATAAAGATTACATTAAAAGCAAAAAGGTATCACTTCTACCCATTGACCAAAATGTGAATTTACATGATTCTATTAGGGCACAGAGCAGGAAGTCATCACCTTTATTTCTGTATCAACATCTTAGCACTCTTATTATAAGATACTAATCCTCAGCCTAAGTCTTCCCAGAACTCCATTTCATATCAGCTTGAAAAACTACTGTATTTCATTGCTGTACAGTACCCTTATGCTTAATGGTAGTATCCCTCTCCTTTTGAAAGTTACATGTGGCAATTTTCTGAAGACTAGATTTAGCAAGCAATACATCTGAGATTAAAATCAGCCACATGCATTCCAACTTTCTGAAGTTAACTCTCAGCAGTTTTTCCAGGGTGGTATTTTGTTTTCCATGGAAGAAATAAACCATGCTTCTCATGCCTTTCAAATCCAAACTTATGCTGGCTAAGCTGGTAGACAGTGACCACACGTGGTTACTGAGAACGTGAAATAGAGCTAGTCCAAACTTAAATGTGTTCTACATGTGCATACCACACTCTGAAGATTTAGTACCAAAGGGAAAAAATAATACAGCCTGTTATATGATGAAATTATAATATTTTTGATACACTGGGTTAAATAAAATTCATCACTAAAACTAATTTTCCTGGTTTCATGTTATATTTTTATTGAGGCTACAGAAAAATTTAAGAGCACACATGTGCTTCACAGTTTATTTCTATTTGACAGTGCTGATATACACAAAGAGAAAAATCTATCTCTGGATCTGAGTTTTGATTCTTTATCTCTTGCCATTCAAATCTGGCAGGAAAAGCACTTAAATAAAGCCTTGAAATAAAAACTAAAATCCTCTGAAATTACACTAAAAATATTTTCCCTCACTGTTTACCTTGATATTGTATGAGTATTTTTAGGAATGCTGCTTCTAGTATTTGTTAACTATTTGGAATAAAAATATACTTCACTTCCCCAAATCTGATTTCTTTCCGATAGCCCGGGGGATCTGAAAATTTAGTTGTTTTTGATTGAAAAGCTCTGTGTTTAGGTGTGTTAAATAGCTGACTATATTAATGTTTTTGGATCATTGAACACAGCTGTTTGCAGTCTCTCTGCTTGAATGTCTACTTTGTATTCTTTGATACTGTGATTTGAGCAACTATTTCCAAGATGATAATATGTAATCTATTAACAGGTGATTTCTTACTGTTATGTTTTTTTTGTAGTTCTGTATTATGTGTAACCTTACACTGCTTTGTTTTGTTTTGTGTTTTTCTCTTTTTCCTTTTAAATAAAAAAAAAAAAAAAGAAAAGCTCAATGCTGATGTTTGTCCTTTAGGTTCCTAAGAGTCTTTGGTCAAATCAGAGTTACCAAAATAGTGCAATGAAAGTAGGCTGTCATATAGAACCTTTCTGTTAAGTTATGTCTATACTAGTACTGTCTGGTACTTTCTGTGATAGAAATTTTATATATCTGTATTATTTGATAGCTATTACTAGCTACAGGTAGCTAGTACAATTAAATTGAATGCTTAATTTTTTAAATTTTAATGTAAATAATCATGCGGCTAGAATCTACCACACAGGATAGCACAAGTCCATAATGATGCATATTGAGACATTAAGCAACTTTATACATAGACCACTCATATCTACAAAGTGACTTCAAAAGAAACCCAGATTTCATAGGTGGACAATCATGACATATCATGATCCAGAGATGGAGCTCAAGTACCCATCTAGGGTTCTTAAGGGGGGCTAAAATGACACTGCTATTTTGACACTGTTTATAATCCATGCACAAAAACAACAAGGTGTTATGTAGTAGGTGAAGAAGGAAAATAGACCTGCCATTGAATTTAAGTGTTGGAATTCCCTGTTTCACCTGATATTCTTTTACTGTAATTGTATGCTATATAAGACTGTTTAATACACATACTGCAGCAACTGAAACAATTATAAAACTGGGATTTTATGTGATGAACATTGTTCTCTCGTGTGTAACTTGCTACCTGAATTCCAGAACCAGACACAGAATAAACAGTTATTTTTCCATTAACAATTGTGACAACCTACACCAGCAGACACATGTACAAGCTGAGGCAAAATGCAGCACAAGGTACCTTAATGTCCATTAATATTCCTTAAACTTCTTTCGTAGCTAGGCAATCTTCTTTTAGGCACTTTTATTTGCTGGTCTACAAATTTTACATGGATATTAAGTACTATAACACCTTAACAGGTACTAAAAAGTTTGGTAAAAACGAAGTCCCCACTATTTAAACACCAGAGGCTAAATTTCATTAAGTTAAGGTTCTTTTAAGGAACTTTTAGGAGGAAAGTGAACTTTCATTTTCAAGTATGGAAGTAGTATCTTGCACCAAAGTCCACAAGCTCTTTCCACCAATATTTTTAACTTTTTTTTTTTATCGGTACCAGGGATGGAACTCATGACCGCCTGCTTGCAAGGCAGGTGCTTATGCTGCTGAGCTAAATCCCCAGCCCCTAATAAAATTTCTTTCCATCAATATTAATGATGACATTATTAGCGATATCCCATACCAGAGAGCTGTTTTGGGCCTCGGTAGGCATACTAAACAGTCTTCTCTAGCATACAATTATGGTAAAAGGATAACGGGTGGAACTAAAGGAATTCCAAAACAGAAGTTCAGTCGTGGCTCGACTTTCCTTCTTCTACTACGTGAACACCTAGAATGTGACATGGCAAAGATGAGGCAAAGCAACTTTAGGCACCCCTGAAACCAAGGACATTGGCATCTCTATCTATCCATTAGAACACGATCCTGTACCTCAAAATCTTCAGGGTGAAACATATTTTTGATGATGACAACTCGTTCATGGCGCATTCGGGATGGTCCGGCTCTCCTCTCAGGTCTCCAATCCAACTGCCTAGTGCAATGAAATAGCAACAAGAAACGGAATTGTTTCAGACTTGTTAGAGAGAAAATGGGTTGTTAATATAATGATATATATTATTAATTAATATATTGAGTATTTAATAAAGATAATTATTGGAGTCCAAAACAGTAAGGTATATTTTAGTCATAATTCCATTCCTAGAATCTTCTGAAATACAAACACTGGGTACTGAAGGGAATAAACACAGTATCTGAAATTCTCGGCATGTATTTTTTTTTCAGAGTAACTTGTCCCATAAGAATATTGTAATGAAATTCCTAAAAACGGTTGATTATTTAATATTTATGATTCTCAGAAAGACAGCCATCCCTCTGTATCCGAAGAGGATAGGTCCTAGGATCCCCCTTGGATATCAAAATCTGCAAACACTCAAGGGCCTTATATAAAAATGGTAAAGTATTTGCATATATGTTACACACATCTCCCCAATATGTTAAATTATCTCTAATTATAATACTTCATATGATATAAATGTAATGTAAATAGCTTCTACAGTGCTTTGTTCAGGGAATAATGACAAAAGTTTACAGATGCAAGTTTTAAGAAATATTTTTGATCAATGGTGCCCTCAGTCCAGTTGTAGAACCCAAGGATATGAAAGGCTGCTTCTACTCTGAGGCTCTCAACATATTTTAACACTGTACTAGTTTTGAAACTAACTGCACCAAAATAAATAAAAGGTACCTACCTCTTTGTTATAATCTTAGATTTTATCACAACTGCTAATAAAACGTATGGCTATCTTATTTTAACTAATCCTGTAAAAACTATGGACATCACAACTAAACACCTTGATGATTTTTAAGAAATAGTGTTATAAGTATTATAGAATTCACTCTGATGAAAGAATGACTTTTAAGAATAAGCATATTTTAAGAAATCTGTTGAATATCAAAACATTAACAGATGACATTACATATATACTACATACAACTACCCTGTCAGTCAATGATAAAACCTATTCTGATTTTTGCTAACAAACTTGGCTATAACAATTTAGCTTCCAGGATAGCTGATTAGAATCCACAATGAAAATGAACCAGTGGTTCTGGTATGTAAGCCTGAACTATCTTATCTAATTTGATGTTCAACATTTTCCAACGAGATTGCTTTTCTTAGCTCAAGTTAAGCACCCTGAAAACACCTGAGAAAAATACCACCACTGCCAAATCAAGCCATCATACAGATTACTAAAGATCCTTATCGAATGAAATTCTTTTAAAACACTACGTACATATATCTGATGGAACTGGGTGGCTACTATTGAAAGGGTATTTATGACTTTTTAAGGAAAAAATTAAAACATTTCATAACAAAATAATAGAATAACAGTAATTAATACACTGCCTATTTTTATTTTCAAAATAGTTATTCAGTACAAGATGGGAGCAGAAAAATGACTTTTCTTTTTGGTCTTTTGAGAGACAGGGTCTCATTATGCAGTTCAGACTGGCTTTGAGCTCACTTTGCAGCCTAGGCTCAAACTCGCAACCATCCTCCTGCCTCAACCTCCGGAGTGCTGCGATTACAGGAGTGAGCCATCACACCCGGCGTAAAATGACTTTTTAAACAGGAAAAAATTACTAACTTTTGTTGCAGAGACAGCTTCTTCTTATAATCCTTGCACTTCTTCTTCTTCTTTGAGGCATCATATTCCCCCTTCAGCTGAAACTTTGCCACCTCAACATGTAATTTGTAGCCTCTAATTTCATCTTCATCCAAAAGTTTCAATGCAAGTTCCACAGATTCTCTCTTTATAAAGATAAAATAAAATACAACCATAATGTATATACTGAAATGAAACTTAAGGAGTTGTTGCTTTTAAATGTAGAATGACTACGACTTACTTAGGGATAAGGAATTCTGGAATGTATATTAAGAAATCTGTATTTGAAATAGCTGTCCCTAAGCAGCTTTGTGAACTCAGGCAAATTACTCAAGTTCCCTAAGTCCCAATTTCTTCATCAGAAATGAAAAAACAACGGAACAGTGGTATCTTTATTCATAGAGCCTCTCACAAAATTAAATGAAATAATTCACGCAACAGTAGGGACTAGCATACAGTTGGCATTCACCAGATTAGATTACTAGGTAATTTTGTCCCATGAAGCCCAATTTCTCATCTGTAGAGTAAGGCAAGAAGACTGGTGTGCTTTTCAAGGTACATGCTAGTTTTAAAATCCTTTAATACTTTTACTTAAAAGATTAGATGACTCACGAAATTGGGAATAGTACAGCTAGACTTTTTCTGCTTTACCAAATAAAATGTAAGTCTGTAATACACTGATAAGTGGAAGATAATTACTTGATGGCTTCTACATTAAATACATTTATGGATTCTGAGTCTTACACAAAGGGAAAAGTTATCAGCCCCACAAAAACAGAATCAAAAGATACGAGGATATGAGGAAAAAACACAAAAGGACAACTAAACTCAGCTGTTCAAGCCAATATAAATCCTGGGAGCAATTAACTATTTTTTTCTGGAACTCAATTTACTGGCTTGATAAGCTTGTACTTTTATGGGTCCTAAATTATACATATGAAGTTTCTTAACACTCTACTTTTCTCTTTAAAACCTTTTAAACATCCAATCGAATCCCCTAAATCAGTTCACAGATTTTTTTCTATATCCATCATATTTATGAACCAGGTCAAAAACCCATCTCTGCAAAAGCTATCAGCTCTCAAGTCCCACTGCAATAATGGACACTTAAAATACACCGGTGGTGTTCATACTGTTCTTTCGCCATTTTTACTTTACTTTGTAATTTTATTTTCAGGTTCAATGACAAATGTACACCTCATCAGCATGTTTCTTTCAAACCAGGCAAGAACACACGAAGCATGCTCCTAAGGTAGAAGGTACTCCAAATATGATAGCTGCCTTTGGCACTGAGTGAGCTTTCTGTGTATAATTTAGTGTCAGGATATACAAAGCTCTGCAAATTTCTGTTTATTAATTTCTGGTATTTCACTCTCTCCCATTGGAAAAAATATTTTAAATCACCAAGCATAAGCTATCATCTCATTCACAGTTTAAATTAAGGGTCAGAAGTCTTTTTATTTATAGAGATAGTTAAAAAATAGTTTAGGCTTTGTGGACCATGAAGTTTATAGTGCAACCACACAACTTTGGGGAAGAAGCACAAAAGCAGCTGCAGACAAATGCCCAAATGCAGGAGTATGGCTGTGTTCCAAAAAAATTTATTTACAAAAACTACTAACAGGCCTGACTTTGCTAAACCCTAATCTAATTTATTCCAGTGAGCAAACAAAATGCCACTGACTTCTGTTGTTCTTGGATTTTTAAAATGTTTTCTCAACTGACTACATGCATTGATAGAGATCTTTGCAGCGGGAATGTTTTTTAAGATAAAAGAAGCACGTCTGTCACATACTTAGTGGACAACCTTACCAATGCCATCCATACACACGGGTACCACCTGAAATTTTAGTTTTCTTTGTACTCTATTTTGAATAATTCTCAGCACAGATTACCATCTATAAAAGATTACAACCCTGAACCCTGAGTTAAAAATGGAGATACAAGAAACTATTCAAGCACATGACTAACCTTCAAATAACAACAAAGCCCATCTCCTTTAAGATTTCCTTGATTATCTTTGTAAAGTTTGACTTTAAATTCTTCTGTCTGAGGATCTCTCATAATAATACCAAACTTGGACATAAGCTGTATAAATTCATCCACTGTAATGTCTGGAGGCAAACCTGTAATATTGAAAAACATTTTTTAAATAGTTACAAAGGTGAGAGGTACTTAACATTCTACAATTAAAAATTGACAGACAAGGGAGTGGAAAGCTGTCTTTCTAAATGAAAACAAAAATCTCATATGTATAAAACTGAGATTCATTCCCATTTTTATATGTTAAAAATTACATTATGACCATACATACTTCGCTTAGGTTTCAGAGACCCTTTAGGGCCATAAGTTACCTAAATCAGGCAAAAAGGATGGTATCTAAAACTATATACCCTTAATTTTTCTTAGTTGTGTAATAGACAAATTCCTTAGTAACATAAACAACTGAACAAAAAAATGACACAATATAAAAATGAGCTTTAGAGAAAGCAAAAACTAAAACTCACTCATAAAAATCTCAACATCAAATATTTCCAATTCTAAATCTGTTTAAAAAGGTATACATACCAGACACATATACATTGGTATTTCTGTCTTCTTCAACATGGAACCATCCTGAAAATGAAATAAATAAGTGAAATAAAAGAAAAAGAATAACCAGGCCAGGGTTTTAGCTCAGCGTCATAAGCACCTGCTTGGCAAGCACAAGGTCCTAAGTTCAATCCCCAGTACCAAAAAAGCAAAGAAAACAGTAATCTAAATTCTGACAATGCAAGTTTTTTTTGAAACTTTTAGGAACTTTCTCCTACCCTCAAAAGCCTAAGACAACTCAAATCACTACCCAGCTTTCAAAGTATGTGAACCTTCTGAGATAGTTTTTGGACCCTATCTGAAAACTAAGCTGACCAGTTTATTTTGATTTTAACTTAACGACAGCTACCTTAAAGAAAAAAAATTCATTGTATTATCCCTTCTAAGTTCTCTAAAAAGTTCACATGCATGCTTTCTACATTCATATTTTGTAAGCTAGAACCACTTGCCTGAGTCACCCTTTCTTTTCTCTCCCCTCTTTTTGGGATCAGTGGGTTCTGGGGTTTTTCTTTGTGGAGGCTCCTCTGCAGTCCTCATACTGGTGTCTGAGACATGCTCAGTAGAACCAGATGCTCCATCACTAGTGAAGCCATAATTAGCCTGATATGTAGCGATGAAATCTTCAGTGATCTAAACAAGAAAGTCAGCACAAGCACACAGAAATTCAAAATTATTTCTGCCCATAAGATGTTTAGAATGTGTTACATTATGGCATATTTAGCAATACAACTTAACATGCAAGTTTTTCTGTAGACAACAGCTGTATTAATTCAGTAGAAATGCAAAACAGTCATTTATACAGAAAAACATAAAAAAACCCACATATAACGTGATAAAAATAAGCGATGGTCAGTTAGAATATCAACACAAAAGCCTGAAACAGCATTAATGATTTTAAGCAATGCCTAGCACTTTTTTCAGGTGTTTCCTTTATAAACTATTACTTCTTTATAGTATACTCTACTGAAACTACAAATACATAAAGCAAAGGTAGTACCAAAGAACAGTGAAACAAAGTAAAAACCAAAAGCCAACTAACAATCTAACTACAGAACCCCGGGTGCACAAATACATATATACACTTGTGTACTTAAATATGTATACGCAGACTGAATAGCATGGTACTTTGATTTTGTGGATATAAATGGGCTACAACTATAAAACAAAATGTTCACTTAACTATTACACACTAAATTACATTATCACTTAGTGTCAAAACTATTTAAGGACATGTGCAACTCAAGTGTTTCTCCCTGGCTTTTGAGAAAAAGGCATTATTGCACAATAAGAAAAATGTAGTTTTCTCATCATATCAAATAGTAGGCACACATAAAATCTGAACTGAGTTTGAAAAGGTACAGGCTTCAATAACACAAAAAAAGCCTAAAACCACTCTCTTTTATGCCTAAAAGCACTCAGAAGGTAGAAAAAACCAAATCTGCACTCAAAGCTGGCATTGCCAGTACAAAAGTGAGATATCACTAAATTTTAAGAATTCGTATAAGTTGGACTATATATATATATAAATGCAAAATGGGAAAGAAAAGTTGCAATGAAAATTTCTAAAGTAATAGTCCAATCACTTAATGGGGACATGTGTTATATTACTGTCCTGCAGGTCAATGTGCAGTCAGTATCCTTTGAAATTGATGCTCTCCTAAGACTTACAGTAACAGGGTACTTTTACCACAAAGTTTGCGTAGCCAAGTTTATCATTAGTTATTTTACATCTATTTTCAAGTCAAACACAAAACAATTTCAAAGTATTCCAAATAAACGTACAAAGGTCTTTTCCACTCATTCCTGTGTTTATATGATTCAAACATGCACGCCCAGGGCCAACGTTTACTAGGGAAGTAAAGCAAGATGCAAAGAAAGTTGAATCGATAAAGACACATAAAGACCTACTTCTTTAATCAAAAAGCTGCGTTTTCCACATAGCACCCAAGCTAAATATATGAAGCCCTGGGATCAAGGGTAGTTACTGACATGAAGTTACTAAATCTGATGTTTTTCCTCTGCATAATAAAAAGCAGTCACCAATATAATCACCAACTGTGACCTTCACAAATCAAATTAATAAGGCATGATAAAAAGCCACTTAAGACACCACCTTTGAAGATTCACGTTCCTTTACGTATCGGTTTTGCACCAACACAACAGAAATGCACCGTCCACGGAGGCTTGGATCAAGAAGCGCCACAGAAGGCTGGCGCCGACCCCGCGGTGGCTCCCGGGGGCCACTCTTACCTTGGGGAACCAAGCCCTCTTGTCCAGGTCCCACTCATAGGGGGTGTCAGCTGGCGGCTGCCCGAAAGACTCGGTTTCTCCACTTGGATCCTTGTGGATATCACCGTCTTTGGGGTCTCCGTATAATTCTTGCATTCGCAATTGCTCATCAAACTCGTCGTTCTTATTCAAGTTGGTGCCGCTCATGTTTCCTACCTAGCAGTGCTCAGACGCACAGAGGCCAAGACGCTAGAGGAGAGAGCAGAAAATGAAGTCTGCAGAGCTCGGCTGGCGCCCCGTCGCCCCCCGTCGCGGGCCGCCGCCCCCCCAGCCCCCCCACCGCGCAGCGCCCCAGCAGTCCCCGGGAAGTCGGGGGCCGCCCCGCACCGCCCCCAGCTCCGCCCGCTAGCCCGCCCGCCCGCGCATGAGCCGCGCCACCGCCCACCTGACTCGGTCCACCGGCCTTGCACGCCGCCGCCCGGTCCACAGCGCTGCAGGAGCGCACGCGCACCGCCGCCGCCGCCGCTGCTGCCCGTATCTAAGGCGTCTGCTGCTCCCGCGGCAACGTCTGCAAAAGATTTCAAAACGAAGCCCCTTCAAGTTTACGCAGTCGCCATTGTCGGCGCGTCGCGACGTTGCAGCGCGGATGGCGTCGACCCGCCCACACATGGCGTCAAAAGGCGCCGACGCAGGTCTGCAGCCATATAGGCCCGAGGGTGTGGCGCCAGGGGGCGCGCTGTTGCCGCGCCTCTACGCCCGCCGATGTCTGCGGCCTGGCTGGTCGCGGTCCGTGGGCGTCCACCATATCTCAGGGTCCTTGGGCTCGGTCGAGTCCCAGGCAGAGGAGGCTGGGTTTGGGGTTGACGGTGGCCCAAAAGAAGGCGCGGGAATATTCCCATGCAGCGGGCGCCAGGCATGTGCCGGGCGGCCGCCATCTTGGGGAAGTGGGTGGGGCGGGCAGGACCAATTTCCCCGGCTGGGAGAAAGCTACGCGCCTCCTTCGCCAGAAGGCCCCTCCCCTACGCAGACCCGTCTTGGCTAGGTTTGGAATGATTGTCGTGGGCTAGACTTCGCTCTCGTTCCTTTTGGTAGCCTTAGCACCTGGCCTGGTGAAGAGCGAATGAATGAATTGAAACTACAGTATCACCTCCCTCCTTTATTGGCCTGGTGCCTTCATCAGGCAAGAGTTCCCAGTGTGTGGAAGGGAGGTAGAGACGGCCATTGCTTGCCATTGTATTCCGGGATTTGTAGGTGCTCCAGCCCCAAATTGAGGCTTACATGTAAACATTCAGTGTGAACACCAGCTTTACTGGATGACTGACTGCATTTCTTTGTCTTTTAAAAACGCACAACATGTTTCTCCAAACGGATTTCCGCCCCCCCCCCCCCCCGTTGCATTCTGCTGAAAGTGAGGGGGTCTGCATTTTTAATTTGGCACATATTTACTGAGTTCCTACTGAGGGCCATGCATTGTATGAGGGTCTAGTGACAGGCGTCAATAAGACAGACACAGCTCACGGGGGACAGGATGGTTGGAAAATGGTATGATAGGAAAAATGCTGCATGCTGGAGAGGACAGATACTAAAATGTTTTGGTCTCAGCATCCCTTTACACTCAAAAATTGTTGAAGACCCTAAAGAATTTTTGTTTGTTTGTGGGTTATATTTATTGATATTTGCTGCTCTAATATTAAAACTGCCATTTAAAATATATTCATTAAATGTAACAAACCAGGGCTGAGGATTTAGCTCAGTGGCATAAGCGCCTGCCTGGCAAGTGTGTGGTCATGAGTTCGATTCCTGGTACCAAAAAAAAAAAAAAAGTAAGAAACCATTATAGTATGTGTAAATATTAATATAGTAGGGGCTGGGCATTTAGCTCAGAGTAGAGAGTGGGGAAAAGCTTGCCAGAAATTATTTCTATTTAGCTGGATGTAATGTGCACATCCAGAACTGAAGAGGCTGATACAGGGGAATCATTGCAAGTTTGAGGCCAGCCTGGGCTACACATAGTGAGTTTAAGACCAGCCTGATCTACGTAGTGAGACTACATGTCTTAAAAGAAAAAAAAAAATCCGACCTTTGCATATAAATAGTGGTGAAGTAAAGGTTCTAGAAAATCCAGTCTTCCAACATATCATCTGAGTGAATTCAAGAGTAACAATGATTTTACACAGTAGTTGAGGCATGTTTTCGTTTTCAATTACTTTTTTTTTTTTTTCATAAGGTTCTTGTTTTGGTAGGAACTGTTGGAGAAAAACTTTTGCATACATCTTTATAATAGTTTTGTTAGGCTCATTTAAACATTGCTAAATGTTTTTTCTGGATCCAAAGATAGGATACAGCTGTTTCAGTGGTGTGTTATTGGCCTCCCATTTCATTTCTGAGTGGGTACACAGCATAGGTGATAATATACTCCCACTTGACTGAACATGATACTCCCTGAGTGTCACAGCACCTTATAGGCAGGTGACCAAAGAGCTATCTTACGTCTAGGTCGCATGTCACCCATCCACTCCTGCTCAAAGGCCGCCTAGAAGCCAGTGTTACATTTATGGATTTGACTAAAGTCCAATAAGAGCTTCTTAGCATGTTAGAGTAGAAGAGGGTAGGGAGTTACATATAGGGAAGGTAAAAGGCAGGACAGAGGCAACTTTCTGTGCAGAAGTTCTGCAGGGGTGAAAGGAGCAACCAATGTGATATCGGAGGGTCACTGTCACCATAATAATGGAGCAATGGAATGAGGAACCAGGCATACTTGTACTTGCCATGCCACTCTTTTGGCTGTGATGCCTGAAAGTTGCATTTTAATAATGCTTTGGTTCGGGCTGGGGATTTAGCTCAGCAGCATAAGCACCTGCCTTGCAAGCAGGCAGTCCAGAGTTCGATCCCTGTACCTATAAAAAAGAAAAAGACAAAAAAAAATAATGCTTTGCTGTATGAAGCCTGGTCTCTGTGCTTATTTCTGTGTATTAATAAAATAACTCCCTAACCTCTGGTAATTCCTAGTGACTGGAATCATCTCTGTCTTTGTTACCTGTGTTTCCAAGATTTTTTGCAACTTACAAAAGCATTCAAGGTAGCAAAGTAAAAAGGGAGCCTGGCAGTGCTGGTGAACCTATAGCACATGTGCCGCAGCAGGTTGTTATCAGCAAAAGCTCTAAAAGGTTCACCTGTGCTGCTCTAGAGGTAGCGAATGGTTCCTGAAGCCCCCAGGAACACATCATAGGTAGGCTGCATGAAAGATTGCTGGTCCTAGGAAGAGGAACCAATTGAAGTCCAAGAAGCCAGCTTCTCTCTAATATATTAATCGACTAAAGCAGAGACTGTCGGACTGAAGAAGTTGCCTATCTGGCCTAGAAAGCCTTGGAAATATTAAGGAACTCTATTAAGTTAGATTTTTAAATAGACTCTTCAGGCTAACTGTACAGGAATACGCTTGTCCCTACATTGTTATCTTTTTTTTTTTTTTTTTTTTTGTCTTTTTCATTTTTATCAGTACCAGGGATCGAACTCATGACTGCACACTTGCAAGACAGGCACTTATGCCACTGAGCTAAATCCCCAGCCCCTTACATTCTGTTATCTTAAGATTTCATGGGAATAAATGCAACTCCTGACAAAAAGACTGATGACAGGCTAGTGTGCAGAGAAGGGTGAGGCAGGAAGAGCACAAGTTTTCACCCAGCCTGGGCAACTTAACGAGGAGAGACTATCTCAGAATTTAAAAGGGGACCCAGGTTTGCTCCCTGTACTGAAAACAAACAAAAATAAGTTAAAAAAATCAGAAACAAAACTCTGATAGATCCTTCACTGAAGATAAAGGTGCAGAAATTCTTTAAAACCAAATTTGCTGTTTGCAGCAGGCATGCCAATGTTAATTTCTAGCATTTTCTATTTTCAGTGATGGAGACCTGCCTGCTGGCTGTGCTTGGGTATATTTGTCACTCTGCTTCCATGATTTATAGTGTATTATGATAGTCTCTCTCCTAAATCTTTGGCACAGGAAGACCCTCAGCAAGATTCAGACATGTGCAAAATTTGTTTCATCTTTGTTTCACTACTATCCCCCTGTAGGTCTCTGCACTGAAGTGAAATCTCCTGTAGAAACCGCCCATTTCTGGTACCACAGTAAGACGTATGCAAGAGGTTGTGGATATTGTGGCCTACTGGTAAGATCCATCTTGATAAAGACAATTTGTTAAAAGAGGGACATCCTTCCAAAAATCCAAAACACAACCATAGTTTTTAATCCCAATTCTCCAGCGATGGATGGAAGAACTCTGGTGCCCTAAGAGAGCATTTAGGAATCTTTTAATATCAGGTTCCTAAATCTCTTAGGGATTATTAACAATGAAAAGAAAAGAAAGTTCTCTGAGCTCTAGTTTTATGAACTGCTAATGGGCCTTCTAGGATTTTGTAACCTGTGTTTTTATTGGGTCATTTCTAAAAATGTTATGCTTCAGAAAGTAAAGATGTAGCATTCGCTCAGAGTGAGAAAAATGGTAAAAGTATTTTGGAGTTCTGTGACTTGAAAATAACTTTAAGTTTTGGAATTAAGTGGATTCTTAGTTATAACTGCCACAAATGTTGGTTTTAAAGTATAAAATTACACAGAGCCATTTGGAACTTTATTTCATGTTTATTGGTTTTCCCCCACTTATTACAATGCCCACCTTAAAGCAATAGTAATACAATACCAGCACCCCACTTTAAGTAAGCCAATTTTACAGATTTAATGTCTAGTGTTAATATATATATCCCCTTTTGAGCCACATCATTAGCAAAAGTTCACAACCACACAAGCCAGTTAAAGAAAGCTCACAGCTATCAAAAGCACACTCACATATCAAGTTTTTAAAAATACAGATTTGACAATAGCGCCAAACACAAGCTTTAATTTGCTCCAAGAATACATTTCTGAAACCACAAGTCTAAATCTGACAAATCTATTGACAACGGTTTTTAATACAATAGTTAGTAACAAGCTTCTTGGGTTAGCAATATGAGCAGTGGACAGAAGATCAGAGCCTTCCATCGGATCTTGAGGGACAGAGGTTAGTTAGGTCATACTCTTACAGGACTTAGGCACCAATTAAATTTAAAAAAGTCAAGCAGGAGGATGAACCGATGACAGCTGCACACCTAGGTGGTAAGGTTTACGTGGCACTTCTGCAGGTTTTTAGAAAGAGGGCACTGCTTACCCAAGAGAAATGCAGTTTCTTAAAGGAAGAATTTCAGACACTGGCAGGTACAGATTTTTCCACAGGGGTCCAGCGAGGCATTTAATGACACCATAAATGTGGCCACTTTTTCTGCCTGTGAATGAGGCAAGTTCTCAACAATATTTGTGCAAATCCAACTCTGCCTAATTCTTAATCAATGCAATTCTAAGCAGAACTACATTAAGTCAGGAAGGGTTGACCCAGTAAGGCAATCACCCTGCCCCAGATCCTTACTCAGCACTTGATTCTCACTGACCTTCAAACATTTTCATTTAAATTGCAGATTTCGTTAGAGTCACAGAAAGGGCCAGTTGCTTAGTCTTTAAGAAAACTATGTAAGAGAGGTTTTTCTCTTTTTGATCTCCTTTTCCCATACAAAGCATAAGATTAGATTCACACCCCATAGTACACACACACACACACACACACACACACACACACTTCAATGACAAAGGAGTATATATAAGCACTTAGAAGCATCAGAGATGTGATGGAAATAAATTAGATTTTTATCTTTCATCTTGTTTATTTCTCCTTTCCTCCTGTTGAGGCTCCTGTTAGAGTTCACTGGCATAAACAAGCATATCTTTCTATACTTCATGGGCTTCAGTTTAGTTAGAAAGCCCCATGGCATTACTGTTTATACTTCGAAGGAAATCATGGTTCATCTTTTACTTACATGGATTCTTTGCTCCTCAGACTTCAACACAGTTCACAAACAAGAAAAATCCATCCACACACCTATGCACAGTTTAGAGTGGGATACATATACTGGGAGGAAAAAACACCATTTTTAATGGAAAAACTAGACTCTATTCTCTTCCTTTTTCATAGGACGCCCAATGAATGAGGCCACACCAATTTCAGAGATGTGTGTATTCTCAGTGCCTGAGACCCTGCCCATCACAGCCAGGCTGTTAAGAGGGGTTGCAGCAAGGGGAGGCTCAGGTAGCTCTCCCTTGCAGCAGAAAAGCTGAGCTTTAAACTGCTTTTGGAAGGTTTTGCTCAGCCAATAAAGAGCAAAGGGGTTTACACAAGAATTACTGAAAGCCAGCACCCGAGAGAAAATTGTAACAATGAAATGTATGGCAGAGGAGTCTTCATAGGCTTTGTGAGTGAATGAGTGGTAGAGATTCAGGAGATGATTTGGCAACCAGCAGAGAGCAAACAGAGCCACCAGCACCAATACTGTTTTGGCAATTCTCTTCCGGGATTCAACCTACAGGAGGGAAGAAAATGGTACACGTACACAGAAATCATTTCATCGGCAGAGATATTTCAAAGCCATTCTCAAGATTTCCATAGAAATTCATAGTTGACACTCTGGTTTCCCTTGGAACACACACTTGTGAGCTCTCGGCTGGGATGTGCAGGAAGTCTGCCTGTGGCTACGGAACACAGCCAATTAATTGGCATGGCAACCTGTGATCTTGGGCTCATTAACTCCAATTCAGAGACCTCCTGCCACCCCCTGGTTTTGTGATACGCTAGGATGTCTCCGACTCAAGGAGTGCTATGGAATTCCCAGCAACTTAATTTAATTGAAAACAGAGAGGCACTTTCCAAAACTGCTTTCACCGTGTCCATAGAGGCTGCCTGGAGGATAATACTTACCTGAGGTTTATGAAAGTTGTCAAGTTGGTGTCAAAAATTGTTTTAAGGTCTGGGGATGTAGCTCAGTTGGTAAAGAGCTTGGCTAGAATGTATAAGCCTTGGGTTCAATCCCTAACATTGCAAAAAATGCTCATAGTCTATGGGAATCTAACCATAGAGTCAAAGGAATAAAAAACAAATACATTGTCCTTTATACATGAGAGTAATCCTACCCTTTTCTGTCACGAAGGAAACGAACCAGCTTAAGTGAAGATAAAATTTGTGGTCTCAGCCAGAGCAAAGATGACACAGCTTCAGCTTCCTGTGCACCAGTGTGAATGGAATAGCTCTCTGTACTGATCAGGAGGCAAATGAAATACCTTCCCCCACTTTTCCCTCTGATTCTGTTTTGACACTGTCCGCTTTATGCTATCTACATTTATGACAGGAGACCACACCTGGCTCTTGGAATGGTTTTAATTGAGCTTCTGTGAAGTCCAAGTGTTCTCCTGTCACAGGCACTTTATTCTTCCCCTCCCCAGACTTCAGTATGCCCACCCGTGTGCAAGTGGTTTGCACTAAATAGTGTTCTGAGTTCTTGTCAGTCCTTCCATTATGTACATTTCTATTATTATGTCATATTTTCTGAAAGAAAAGCTGTTTTGCTTGATAGCCTCACCTTATGTGGTATTCCTCACTATTCCCTGGGATAATTTTTAATGTTCGCAAACCTTGGCCATCTCCTAACAATAAATAGCCCCACTTTTTATTGAATGCTTACTCTGCTCCAGGAATTATGCCAAGCATGTTATATCATCTAGCCTTCAACTTCATTTTATAAATAAAGAAACAGAAGCTCAGAGAGGTTAAATAGCTTGCTCAAGATTGCTCAGGTAGTATGTGTGGGATTAAAACCAGAGCTTATGGTGACAACAAAATGCTAAACTACTATTGTATTTGTACACAGATAAATACACAGTTGTTCACTATGCAGAAGTAGGAATTTCACTTCTGAACTCAAACTCTTTGTATGAGAATCAGTTAATACATACCTGCTTGCGGGCATGGCTTTGTTCCTCAGTAGGTATGTTCAAGGTGCTTTTGTAAAGAGTTCTAGCAATCAAAGAATAATAGACAGAAATAATTGAGAGTGGAATAATATAGAACACTAAGAAGCTCAGCAGAGCATGTATTTCCTGCAAGAGCTTCTCAGAGACAGGATAAAAGGCACACCATTCAGATGTCATATTTTTGTTGGGATCTCGCAAGGTGTGTACATTTGAAAATATAGCCTCTGGCAAAGCAAATATCATGGACATTATCCAGATGCAGCCAGCTTTTGCACAAGTCTTCAGGATGGCATTGGAGGGCTGTCGCTCAAGTGGCTTCACAACTGCTTTATATCTAGAAGAACATAATGAGAAACAAAAGTCAAAATACGTGCCGAAATTGCAGAACCTTAGGGTTAGAAGTGACCTTAGTCCCTGGATGACCATTCAGTTCTACTTCCTACCCAAATATGCCTAATCAAGTCAGCATTAACCATCTAGAATAGGTTGTGGTTTTAAAGACACAAATACACCTCAAGAGTTTTATTTACCTGAATTGGCTTTTTTCTTATTCACCCTTATGAGATAATCCAGATTTGTGATTTTATAACTTTTTGTATACATCCTCTGCTTAAGAATAATTTTTCAGCACAATTTTATGTGTGGTTAAGAGTAATTCACCACTTATATGTTACGGTAGGTATTCTGAAAGACTTTCTTTTTGTATAAGTTATTCATGCTAAACAGCAATAACTCTCCTTTCTTCATGAATGAGCTGCCTTTAACCATCCTAGAAAAGAATTCCAGGGCTTCGCAGTAGTAAAAGGAAAGGGTTAATTTCTTCCCTGTTCTCAAGTGCTACTTTGCTGCCCAAACTGAATGATCTGTGAGACTTAGGACAAGGCAAAGATTAAATTGAAGCCCCATGCCCCTGAAAAGATGCTTCCACACCGGACAAATCCACAGCCTGCAGCCTTTACAGAAGTCTGCCCAGTCAAAGCAAAAATTCAGAAAAGACACAAGGAAACCTGTTTTCTCCTCTCCGGTTCCACAGTCTGAATAAGCTGTTCCTTCTAATACTGCCAGGCATTAATTACTTTCAGGCTTCTTACAGGCTTTAAAAGCATCACTTTTAACATTTGGAGCCTCAATTTTTTCATGCTTTTACAATTCGGAACACAGAAAAATACAGTACTTAGATTGAAAACATTGTAACAGTCCAAACACCCTGATGACAAGAGGTTTTCACATGTCCTAGCCATAGAGCTCTAAAAGTCAATCGGGATTAATTTATCTCTCCAGAAACCGAGTGTGTCACTGAACACCTATAGAGAAAACAAATGGAATTAAGTGATTACATCTCGCTGAGTTACCAAGGAGCTAAAACCTCACCATTTTTCTGCTATTAGCTAATTTGATGAATTTCAAATAAATTAGATTCATGTTATATCTTTACTATCCTTTTGATATATGGCAATGTATATGCAGTAAATGTCACACCTATGCCAATGTTTTCATGTTGACAATATTGTACCACTAGGCTGCACTAATGTATAAAGCATGCATTTTTTCCCCCGTTTACACCTGCAGCAATTGCCTTACTTAATAAGCCGGAGGAAAATAAAAACACTGTTTGGTATTCTTTCAAGCAAACAATTACACTTGAAAGAATAGAAATTTCCCCTAAAGCATATATTTGCAACCTCTCCTTACATGCTAATACAGAAATTTTACCATTTTTACACTAACTTTGATTTAAAATGCCACCAGATTTCCCAATCTTATGTCCCCGTTTCAGCGTGTGAGAAAAGCAGAATAGTAGCCGGTAAATGCTAAGTATGAGCTTTCCTTTCCTTTTGTCTAATTTCACATCCTAGGAAATATAACAGATAAAAGGACTCACCTGTCAGCGCTGAGAATCGTTAGCGTGAACACCGACACTCCAACAGAAGTGAGCCGGATGAAAGAGAGCACCTTACACCCGATTCTCCCGAACAGCCATCCCTCTGCAAGGTAGTGAGTTGCATCCACGGGCACACAAGTCAGCAGAAGTAAAAGATCTCCCAAAGCCAGACTGGTGATGAAAATATTTGGAACTGTTTGCATGGATTTGGTCTTGAAAAAGACTTTGATGAGAATAGCATTTCCAAGGATACCCACTGAAATGATCACAGCGTAAGTGATGTAGATGGCACACAGAGCTTCTATTCCTGGAGAGTTGTCTCCAGTCCACCCTTTATTTGTGGTATCGTTGGAAACAACAGAGCTTGATGATTCTGTGTCATTTGTGATTGAAATTAAAGTCTGATTAGGTGACTGAGGCTGCTTTTGAGACATTCTCCTGGAGACTGTGTCTTCAGTGTTTTCTTCAGTTCAAATGTGGCTGACTGTCACGTCTAGTGCCTACGTCTAGTAGGGGGGTGGTGTTAGGAGGAGCGAGCAGCACAGAATGGAGGAGAATCTAAGGCATCCACATACTCCTTTGCTTCAGTTGTTCTGTATCTCCCAGCATGCTTGGCTAAGCGCTTACAGATCTGGCACTGAAGAGTGGGAGGTCGAGGATGGAGGAATCTGTCTTATTGGTGTGCCTGAAACATAGGGGGAGGGAGGGAGCTGAGGAAATGCTCTGCAGTTGTTTGTTCTTCCCTGTTGGGGAATCCCTTGAATCCCCATGTCTATTTAATTATCTTATTGTTTATTAGAATCACCCTGTCTTCGTACCCACCCAGGATTCTCTATAGAAATTTTGGTGATTTTCTCAAAAAAAAAACCCTCACATAGCCCTTTCTAATCACATGGTAGTCTAATGCATTTCTTTTACATGATAAAAAAGTTGCAACGGACCCCCGAAGCACTTGAACCCAAGACTCAAGATTTTCTATCACAGAGACACTGAAGCAACAAATCATTCACAGTTTAATAGGACTCATTGTACCTCCATGAAGCAATAATTTAGGTGACTTAAGTTTAATACCTAGATCTAATACAGAGTAATTCCCAGGCCTACGTGTTTCAGGCACTTTGCTGCACCAAACTGAAGCATCTTTTGAGAGGTAAAAAGGGTTAGCAAACTCCCCATCACTGTGTCCCTGAATGTCCTAATAACAACAATTTTGTCACTTGACTGTTTTAATACCACATTTTAAAAATGAACTGTTGAAGGATCCTTTCTCTAGAAATGGTTAAAAATGAACCTGGTTTATTCCAAAACAAAATAATACAGAAAACTACCAATTGAGATCTGACACAAAAAGATCTAAGCATGAAAGTCACTACTTTCAGATGAGAAAGTGTCATGGATTGCTCTGGACATGAAAGGTGTGTAGATGCTGTTTACATTGGCTGGGGAAAGTAGAAAATTAAGGCAATCGCCTTAGTACCAGCAGCAAACACCTCTGTTACAGAAGAAAGAGAAAGAGAGAGAGAGACAGAGACAGACAGAGAGAGAGAGAGAGAGAGAGAGAGAGAGAGAGAGAGAGAGAGAGAGAGAATTATTTGGGAGAAGGAGGCCAGCATTTTGAAGGCAGCTAATAATAATGCCTGCTAATAAATACTGTTTAAAAGTATCAAATTCAGTGAATACTCTCTCAACGAGGAACAACTTTGCATAGTGTAGTGGTTACAAATATGATCATAATAGAAATTATTTTGGGAAGTGAAGCGTAAAAAACCAAAGTATCTGACTAAATGATAAATGGGGCAAACAAAGGCAGTTCTTCATACTAAAAGAGTAGGTGCAATGAATTCCACGGAGAGAGTGAAGTGGTTGAATAGCAAGAATGACCTGGCTAACTTGAGCCGCTTCTCAGACAGTACCTATCCTTCACTCTTTATGAAATTATCTCCACAGCTTGAATTATTCAGATAAATAAGCACTTTCAATGGGAATCGAGAGAGAGAATGTTTATATAAATTCAAATCCCCAAGTTTTCCAGTATTTTTTTAAAGTAATGTCGTGCACTAGGCTCGCTCCTTACGATAGTCCCGATGAAAAAAATGAAACCAAAATGGAAAGAAGAAAAGAAAAAAGGCAGAAAAAGGACTCTCTACAATTCACATCTTGTTCTCACCAAATTAATGGAGAAATCTCTCCAGTATTCCTGCAGCTAATCTTCACACGACACTGTTTCATAAGAAACAAAATCTTCATACGACACTGTTTTGTAAGAAACAATGATACGTGATTTTTGAAATTATGTGAATTCCAAAGACCTCTCTCATACTTTGAGCAGGCTGCAGCCATCAGTGTCCTTTGCCTTTTCTGTCTTCCTTCTGATCAAAAGAAGTTAAGAAAAAATAGCAATTTTGGAGTGGTATTGGGCATTTGCATCCCTAGGATTCTAGAATCTCAAAATATCAGAGACAGAAGTACCCTTAGAGATGATGAAATTAATGGCTTTCATTTTGTAGAGCCAGAAATGAGGGAAAAGTTTTCTCATCCAGGGTCTCACAGGAATACAGTATGAGAGGTGAGATGAAATGGATTCTCTCTGGCTTCTGAAAGATTAAAGAAGTCAGTGACACAAGCTGAAAAACACTCAGGTCCTCACTATGAGCCATATTTGCTCTTTTCTCAAAGTTAACAAGCAATTCATGATAAATAATTTAAATGTATCTACTTTTAGGGATATCTCTCTGTTTTTATACATTTATAATCCACTCATAATCCATAACTATATCTAATCATTCACAATTAAAGTTGAAGGGCACTCACCCTATCCAAAATGAAGTTCTTTTTTGTTGTGGGGCACAGTTGGTCAACATTATCATTCAAGGTTTTCAAAACCAACTACTTGGTTACAGATTAAATAATTGAAACACAATCTTAATGTAGCTTTTAGCTCAAAGGGAATATTGGACATTGGACAAATAAATTACTCATTTTCTGAAATTGGGTTTCCTTATTCTGCCAGTAAGTTAGTGATGTTAAAATCTTATTTAAATCTCTGAAGACCTGGAATCTAAGAGTGGTGCAGAGACCTTCTCTGACTCTAAGGTGATGTAGAGAGGAGTTAGAAAATGATGGCTAGACAGTGGCTACAAGTTTGGCCCCAAGATTCTCAACCAGCAGTTAAAAAATACAGTGGTTCTTAAAACTCCAATTGCACAAGAAATATTACAAAGAATCAACAGTTGGAATCTCATCATACTAAAAAGCTTTTGTACAGTCAAAGAAACCACCAGCAGAATAGAGACAACCCACAGAGTGGGAGAAAACTTTTACCCACTGTTTCTTAGACAAAGGACTAATATTTAAAGTATATAAAGAACACAAGGAGAGAAAAAAAGAAATCAGATCCCCCAAAATTAAAAAAAAAAAACCCAATCCAAAAGTGAGCATCTGAAATTAATAAGCACTTCTCAGATAAAGAAATACAAAGAGCAAATACATATAGGAAAAAATGTTCAGTATTGCTGGTAATTCAAGAAATGCAAATTAAAACAACACTGAGATTTAACTTATACCAGAAAGACTGACTATCACTGGGAAATCAACCAATAACAAATGCTTTTAAGGCTGGGGGCAAAAAAGGAGCCCTTCTACACCACTGGTAGGAGTGTGGACTGGTACAACCACTGTGGAAATTCCTTAAAAAATTAAGACCAGAGATCTCCTTGGACCCAGATATTCTCCTTCTAGGACTCTTTCCAAAGGATTAAAAGTATCCTACCACAGTGATATATGCATACCCATGTTTATAGCACCACTGTTTGTAATAGCTAAATCTTGCAAATAGCCCAAATGCTTATCAAAGAATGAAGATTTTTTTTAAAAAAATATGATGAACTACTACTCTACTGTAAAGAAAGATAAACTTGAGACATTTCCAGGTACATGGGTGCACCTTGAGACCATACTCTTAAGTGAAATAAATGGTGCACATATGTTAAAATATTTCATTGTTTTTCTGGTATGAGAAATCAAAAGGATAAATAAAGACCAAAATATAAAATAGATATTGTAAAATAGGAAGAAAATGTCCAGCCCCCATCAGGAAAGCTCCCATCAGGTAACCAACTCAGGTCCAGGAAGCAGCTGCAGCCCCACCCCACATGCACTCCAGCAGCCATCAGTGAGGCTTTCTGCTGCTGGCAACCAGTGCAAGCTGGGAAAAGCAGCAGCCAACCCTGCACCAGTGCACCCAATGGCCACCATCAGATGCACATGGCCAGCACTGGCCAAGAGGACCACACAGTCACACTTTGGAGAATTGTATCCAATATGGGAAGTGCCTAGAATCCTACTACCAGCTTGCTCAGAAGAATGCAGGAAAATGTCAAGACAAAGAAGCAAAAGGCAGTCTCTGGCCTCTAACCCAAGCAGAGCAAGTCCAGGAGATATAAAAACAGAAGTGATCAGAAATTGCACACCTTACAGAAAAAGTCTACTTATGGAAGTAATAGCAGAAAACTTCCTAAGCATGGAAAAAGGTTGCGACATACAGATAAGTGAGGCATTTAACACTCCTGTAGACATAACCAAAGTAAATCTACACCCAGATGTACATTTCAACAAAAACCATCAAGTCAAGGAAAGGCTGAAGTATTTTAAGTCCTGAAAAAAAAGAACAACTTCCAACCCAGATGGATGCACCATGTAAAACTATCTTTCAAAATTAATGGGGAAACAAGATACTTCCATGACAAAGAACAGCTGGAGGAATTCATGACTGCCAAACAAACCCTACAAAGAATACTGAATGACATTCTAGAGAGAAATAAAATTGACCATGGTTCCAGGAACAATTTCAGAGGGGGATAACCCATGGGGGCAGACAACTGAATGGAGGAAAAAAGTAGGCAGCCAACAGCAGGAAAATAGCATGATAGAGACAAGCCAGTACATGTTGGGCATAACCATTAATGTAGATGGCCTCAATTCACCAATAAAGAAATACAGGCAAAATGGGTCAGGAAACAGGATCCATAAATATACTTTATACAAGCAACACCTTTAACTTGAAAGAAAATTCATAGACTGAAACCCAAAGGAGAGAGAATAATGCTCTGTGTGACGGGGAACCAGAAAAAAAAAAAAAAAGTAAGAGTTGCTTGCCCATCAGCTGCAGAATAGAAAGCTACCCAGCTATAAAAAAGGATAACCTTGAAGCTCTTGTAGGTAAATGATGCAATTTGAGATCATGCTTGTGGGTGAGATGGTTCAGAGTACATGGGTGAGTATCATGTTGTCTCCCTACTATAAAAGACTGGAGGAGTTGGTTGGATCCAGAAAGCACAATAGGTATTGTGAGAGAAGGGGAGAACATGTCTAAAGGGGGAAGGCAGTGGCCATTGTTAATCTATAGTAGTGCTTTGAAACCCTGTGTTGTTTTCATTGTTCTGTTTGGTTTGGTTTTAATCTGTTTTTTGTTTGTTTGATTTTGTTATATTTGATGGCATGGACAGCTGTTTCAAAGATAACAAAATATGCTGTGGTGGCCATTGTTGATTGCCTATTGTCTTTTTTCAAAGCTCTGTATTACTTTTATTGTTTTGTTTTGATTGATTTTATTCTATTTTGTTTTGCTTGATTGTGTTATGTCTGATGGTATGGGCAGCTGCTTTGGAGACAGTGAGAGGCATTATG